TTCCTCCATTCCTCCATCAGGAAAGCTGGAACGTCGCCATATGACCTATTCTGTGTCTGATTGACTTAAAACCCAATCAATCAAATAAAAATTAAAAAAAAACTAGCATGCTTATGCTAAATGAAATAGCTAGCTTTTGAAGAGTATATTGCTTCTTATACTTGAAGAAAGCGACCTTTCTGAACATAATGTCTTTTCTCAAAACATTCATTTTCATCATGTCTTTTTTGTCGTAAAGGATTTTACAGCTGGGGAGGTATTGATAATTACATTGCTTGCTAGCAGACAAAATCGAATCGTTTACGCTCTTTGGATATCAAGGACATGCATTTGATGAGATATAGTGATATATTAAGTTCAGACATGTATATAAATCAAGGATAAGATGTATCTATTATATGTTATATATTATATATGTATTTAGTGTTACTGACCTGTGTTAAGATTTAAGAAACTTACTTAGCGTTATGTATACATTTTACATTTTAATATTTTTATAGAAGTGTTTTGACTATCTTAAGTTCATGTGTAGTTTGAAATCACAAAACTTATTTTATGATAAATAAGTTTAATCATATTCTATTGCTAATATATACATGTAAAAATACACAGATACTATAGGTTTTCTAAATAATAAATAAAAAGCAAACGAGTTTGGCCCAAGGTTTTTCAACGATCGACCCGTATGTGTTTTATTAATATACATTACTGATTTTCATAAAAAGTCGCTTTTTAAAAACGTCAAATTTTATAAAAGAGGTTTAATGCGTCGAAATTTCAAGCATAATTGTGAACATAGACAATTTGTATTTATTTATTTATCAAAAGCAATTCAGGATTTATTTTTATCGAGTTGTATGAAAATAAATATTTCACGGGTGGTAATAGCCACGAGTGAATTATGACAATTTTCATACCGCAAGTCCGTACATAAGTGCAATGGAGACATTTTATGGTAATTTGTTTTAGCATGTCACATGGAATAAATATTTTTGTACAAACCTTATCAATCTATTATCTTTTGTTGTATTATAAGAAACAATATTTACATGATTATCTTAAATGTTTGATAGAAGACAAAATATGACTTCTTATTCTGGAAGCAGAACACTTGTCAGTAAATGATTACATTTTCAATAAAACTTTTTTTGTTAATCTCACTACATCTGGCATATGTCAGCACGTTTGAGATATATCCGGTTGCGTTCATATAAGCTCGTGATCTATTGGGAAATCAAAGATTATTTGTGAGAGACCGCAGATTGAAATGTGTCTAGATTCAACGAATAGGACGCATAAAGTAACTGGTGATTAAAACTTTATACATTCTGTAAAAGACGGCTGATTTTTAAGTAACAAAAATGTTTCCGAAATTACAATTTCTCCTCAATCACTCCTTTTTTCTCGTTTGCATCTTTTATGGCAGTGCATTAAAAGCAATTATTAATCAAATCACTTTGTAATAATCATAAGATACCTCTTTTGGAACTAAAAATTCTCAACTTTTGTTTCCGAGTTTAGCTTGATAATAATAATAAGTGCTATTTTGCTTAGTAATTTAACAATATAATTTTCTCTGCGCCTTTTTCGGAAAATACAAGGTATTCTATAAGATTTTATAAATTAAAGTTAAAATAAAACTGAGAGGTTAAATGTCCAAATTGTTTTTTTTTACTGCGCGTGTACACTTCTTTACCGAACCAAATCAAATTGTCTGCGATGAATACAATTACGTGCCTTTCTTTTTTTAAAGCATTTTGTAAAATGTCTGCTTTATGTGAAACACAGAGTAATTGTAGCTGCAGACAAATCTATCTAGTTTAAATGACAATATGGAATGCAGCTTTCATTTCTTTAGACACTTTATATATTTTATTTTAGCATTAAACTAAGAACCACAATACATTTTAATAAAAGAGATAACAAGTAAATAAAGAATAATAAAAACATGTACCTAACATTTAAAGGAACTACACTGAAGTTTATAAGCCTAAAACATAAATTTTTAATTTTAACATAGATAAACATGAGCACTTAAAACAGAAATATAAATAAAATGTAACCAAGAAATATACAAGAAATACATTGAAAATCATAATTATGTTTGTGCTATTCTCAGTCCGATTTGAGTGAAATTTTGGGTCATTTTTCACTAATATAATAATTATGCTGCAAAAACGAAGGGAGCTAATGATCTGAAATTTTGCACATACCTTATTAGTATAGATCTACATCAAATGGAGTAATAATCTAAAAAAATTTATTTCCAGTCCCGTCATGTCAAAAAACCTCAGTGGAGTCCCTTTAAACATTTAGATTAAGAAAATCTGCAAAAAGAAAGACAAAACAATTTACAATGCTTTTACTACGTTCCATTTTGTCATTGATATTAACATAAATGGATTTCGCACGCTAAAAATACACCCTTAACACGAATCTGATAGCCTCGTGTGTCCATGCACTTTGTAATACCTAAACATATATTTTATACTAGCTAACGATACCCGAGTTATAGATATTAAATGCAGAAAATATTAATGTATAGTTGCGTACAATCTTTGCTGATTTATAGGTTTTGAGTAAATTTAATGAAATATAATAACCTCACATCAAAGTATTTTTTCTTTGAATTAGATGCAATGCAGTTTTGTGGCATCACTAAACTAGAACATAGTTCTCTGGAAGGATTTTTGTTTCATTTTCCATCTGGAAGTTTATCCATTATTGATGTTATTATATGGATAAGCCCTGTAATGCAAACTTGTCAAACGGCGACATAATCTTTTAATGGATATGACTTTATGGATACCTTAACAAAGTGTTTAGAAATCACGAACGAACCAAAAACTAGACTGCATAAAATTCCAGAAAGAATGTTTCTTTTATACTAATTCATTTAGGATAATTTCTGTATTCCGATTGAGTGTTTTTCAAAAAACCAAAGCGATTAAAAGAGCATATTCTGCTTTAAATCATTTAAATTTAATTTAATCAACGTAATAAAATGTAATAGATTATGTGTATCTAAATGATCATACCAGGGAATGTTTCCATTTTATCTTCTTTTCTTTGTGTAGTATGTGTATGATTTATCAGTTGGCTTGGATGTAAAAAAAAAACAAGTATTAAAAGCTCAATTTAGTATTTATACCAAAATAAACAACCTTAGGTGTACAAAAACTATCCAGCTGTTGAAAAATGACAAAGAGCCACTCTAAGTGATATGTAATAAAATTCGTTATCACAATAAATATTTAATTGAAAATAATATAAATCATATTTGACTTACCTTTGTATTTGTTAGATGAGAATAGAAATAATCAATGAAGGCGGCATTCGATGAACTCAGAATACATTTTAAGAATCACTCAACATTGATACAAAATACAACTTTCTAGATATTTTGAGACAGAGAATACAATAATATTGCTTCCCTTGTCAATCATTACTTCTTCCGCATTAGTATTTATGTATGTTTATCGTGCCTGTTAATGAAGCGGGGTCCGTACTCTCAGTGTCTGAAAGGGCGGATGGACCCTCATTAAGCCTAGCATACATATATACTGTTAATGAAGGAGATGCTTGCAACCTACTGTTACGATACGAACAAAAGTAAACTATAAATGCTTAATGTTTGCTATATCCAGGGGTTTGAAGAGAATTAAGCGATGAAATATCATTTTTAATAAACAATTTTAATTTTATTTATAGTCAAGTATTATGATAAGAGAAAATTACATAAAGTTAAACGCGTACACTGCTATAAGTACATGAAGTAGGCCAAAAGTAATTTGTAAAAACAAAAATTTTGCCACATGCCTCTATTGCATTTAAGATATCTTTAACTTCCTCTTTTTCTTCTTTCAACATAACCAAATACGAGATACAATCAAGGAAAATATCGCTTTAAAATGGATCTTCTGCTGATAAAAGCAAACGCAATAGCCTAAATTTTTTTTGAAACAATAAGTATCCACTATCCACACCTTAAAGTTTGTATCACGCAATTATTTAAATTAAATATGAATAATAATATCTGTCATATGTTGCGGTTCAGATCGGAATATCAGTCCCGAGGGACCCCACCCATTGGGCGGAAACGAGGCTTGCCGAGTTACCGCCTATGGGCGGGTTCCCAAGGGACGGGTATTCCGATCAGAAAAACTGCAAAGTTAACATGTGTCAGGTTTTTTCTTACTTATTCTGCAATATTATTTCATATTCAAAATTTTTACCTCAATAAAATATTTGTTTATGGAAATTTAAGTCATAATATCCATAACTATTTTCCAACAATAGCATATGAATTTACAACTTTAATAACAACGGCGAAATGACGTCATCCTAGGCACATAGGTTTCTTCTAAAATGATGTCATTTAACGGGGTTCATTTATTAAGTGCGCTTAATTGGCGTTGTTGTATGGTACGCGACTCATCTGGTACCCCCATAAGAAAATGCATTCCATGTCTAGGTTTTGCGGCTAACACTTTACTATTTTGTTTCATACGCCAAATTCCAGATGATGCATAATTTTGAATAAAAAGTTAACAAAATTTTAAGTTTATAATGTATTTGATTAATTTAGCGCTTGTAATAAACAGGACATTTTTCTAATCATCACGTTGATATCCACGAATTTTTTTAAACATTTAATAAAACATCATTGATTATTCAAAACATAATTATCACTATCTGAAGGAGAACGGGAATTTTTCAAGTAAACATGAAAATATTTTATTATTCATGTATATCACTCCATACATCCTTTGTAAAAAAACATTCTTGAAAGCACTCGCAAAGGGCGGTTTAATTGAATCTTAAGAAAATTCAAACCACACCTCGCAATTCACACAAATGACTTATGAATAGACTAGTTTTATCTTATCAAAACATCATTTGTTCGGCAATTATTGCTTTTAGTTAATAATGTTAATAACCCTTTCCCCCTTTAGGTATACAGTATTCGCTCAGATAAATGTTAGAAATGCTGACACGTATATGACAGAGTACCTCAAAAATACACACGGCTTTATATTCGTTTACATTATATGTTAAGACCAGTTGAATTTAAACGCTTAAAATGAAAATGGCAGTCAGTATTGTATTATACGTAACTATTTTCCTTACAAGGATTTTATATTTTGTCTATTGTGATTGTTCAAGAAACGGAGACTGTTGTGACAAGTACCAGTGTGAATACAGTTTATTTAAGAAATTTATTGAGTTGGAAAGCAAGCTTGGTTCTTTGGAAATTAGGTTTGAAGGTAATTTTGGTCCTATTCAATTATTCCTGAGCTCAATTAGATTGAAAAAATATACACAGAAATTATGTACATTTTACTTTTTGTCTCAATTCTTGAAAACAAAATATTTTTTTTATACTGCAAATTGTTTTCTTTTGTAAAAGTCAAGAATCTTTGATCTTGGATTAAAATATACAGCTGTCAGAGCTAAATCATTTACACAATTTACAAGACAATATTTTTATGTTGAAACAAGAATAGTTCGTTTTGATGGCTCTTTGTTAGGGTCTTAAATCGTAGGTGATTATATAAAAAAAAACATTTTGATAGTTGTATTTCAATAAGGTTGCTTAGAAAAACGAAATATGAAACAAAAAAGCATTTAGTGGCAAATGTGACAAACTAAATATGCGGAATTCTATTTCAGAAAATCGTAAGGAATCGGAAAACGCTCCAAGAAGCGGCGGATCAACCTATGTACGATGGGGACGCACGTCATGTACAGGACGTTCAAAGGAAGTGTACAATGGATATGCCGCGGGGACTGATCACAATCAGATTGGTGGAGCAGGCAATGCCGTTTGCCTAACAAATCACCTAAATGGGGACGATACACGTCAAAAGTCGAAACAGGCGCCTATATTTACGGGGCTGAATATAGTACAAGAGAATACACGGATTGGAATTACTTACACAACCATGACGTACCTTGTGTGGTTTGCCAAGTTCCAAGAAGTGACATTTTGATGGTCCCTGGCAGTAACATTTGCCCAACAGGATATACTTTAGAATACAATGGATATTTAATGGCTGGACATTACGGAAGTTCTACTTCTTCTGAATATCTCTGCGTAGATTCACATCCGGAGAAATTATATGGTGGCGTCGCAGATAAAATCGCAAAATTATTCAGTTTTGTTCAAGCTAGATGCGGTGCTCTTAAATGTCCACCATATGTGAATGGACAGGAACTGACCTGTGCTATATGCTCACGTTAGCCTACGTATTATATACTGTGCTTCAAAACATAAACATCTTTGAACTTGAGGAGTTCCTTTCGTAAACAAAGATCAGATGTAGTGTTAAAACTATTGAAGCACTTTCTTGAAAATATCATAACTAATAAAATGTTAAGCTTTATAATAAGAATGGTTTTGTGTTTAATCAAATAATACGCAAATTTGAAGGCACTTGATTTTATAAATTATATTCAATGTTGATGGCTTACGGTTATCTTACTCATAACGTCAAAGAGTTCACTATTTCCTAACATGGGCTTTAAATGTTTTAAAGTTTACTATTAGTGCTTTGATATAAATATTTTTTAGATTATATTTTATATGCTCATTATCATTTTAGTTATTGTAACCAATATAATTTTTTTATAGAAATTTGAATAAACTCGAAACACAACGCGAATACATATAATGTTTTATTTACAATGAGTCATGGGCATTTCTAAAAAAATACCAGTGACGTGTGATAACGTCACAGGTTAAAAGCATGGAAATTATATGAACATGTTTAACAATTACATTCTGTTACATAACTATTGCACTGTCATGCTCGTTTTTGCATCTCCTAAGACTGATTTGCGATTATTAAACTTTTATGTAACTGCCATTTTGCATTTAGACGTATTTTGCTTTTCCTTGAGTCGAGGCTAAGATGTATGTCAACAGTATTGTAAGAAAAAAAAATCTCACGAAGCTATTTCAAGTTACCTTACCAATTTATTAAAAATCATTATATAAATATAGTGCCTCGTATCTTTAGCGATTCAGTGTAAGATTTGATTAATTTATTCAGTACTCTTTAAAAGTCCTCAATAAGATATGTAACAGTTTGTCATAACACTAAAACATAAAAGCAGGGCAACTTTTATTCTGCCCTCAAATTTTTTGATACATTAAAAAATTGGAGCAGCAATTGCAAATGATATTTTAATGCAGCGATGCGGTTTTCAATAATATTCAATGCTCCTCCCCCCTTTTTGAAACAAACATAAGTAATAGCAAAAAGAAGGAGATACTGGATACCACTTCCTCAGGAGACTGGGGACAGGCAACATTCATCCCACATTGATGTGGTTATCTAAATACATTGGTACATTCTACCACCGCGTCACACGGTCTGTCCGTCATACGACCAGTGACTACTGAATGTTTCATATCACCAAGGACCATGTATATAGTTTCTATTCTCACGTTTTGTTTTAACAATCCTAGAGGTGAAAAAACACTGTGGTATTTTACTCATTTTAATCCTTACAGGCTGTGTGAAATAAAAAATGGGAAGGAAAAGTCTCATTTAATCCTTACAGGCTGTGTGAAATAAAACATGGGAAGGAAAAGTTAATAAAGAGCAACGCTTCATGGCAATAAGTTGTTGTTTTATTTTTTAACAACCAAATATTTCTCTGCACCTCATTTAACAAAGGTCTATGTTAGGAGACATTAAACTGTCAAGCTGGAAATATTCTTTAATATTACAGTGTCAGGAAAAATATGCAGCCAGGACTTGAAACTTCTGAATACAGTACTACAACATTACAAATTGAACACAGAACCCTCAGAATATCGTTTTGTAGCTCTAAGACTGAAACAATGCCTCTCCCAATTAGTGATAAGTGTTTGGAGTTCTATACCGTCATAACACTATATTTGCCGCAAAAAGTAACAGGGAGTGTGACAGATGTAAAGCTGAATAAGGCCCATTCCACCTGAGCTAACGGCATCTTATACATGCAGTTTGGACTTTAAATGGGGATTTTTAAATAATCTCTTAAACTTTAAAATTCAGTTTCTTTCTAAAGAATGTTCAGTGTAGATTGAAAGTATAGACTTTAACATTATTAATTTACCTAATTGTTTCTTATCTGATGATAATTGCCAGATTATATCGTTCTTTATTCACGCCGGCAATTTAAAATATATAAAATATCTAATTGCACAACAATTGCAAATTATTTATAAAAAACATAATGTAAAATTAAGGTAATTTATTCTTTTAACTCTTTGTACACATTTGTCTTGTCTGTTATTCGACGTTCGTAGCACACATGAAGGGAGTTACCCATATGAAATGCCTTTTTCATATTTATATTGTAGTCATTCTCGTATTAGATTGTTTACTAATTAGTCACATTCATTTCATCTTACATTTATTTGAATTACTTTAGACTAGACCTGTATGTAAATCAAACAATTGCCCATATCTATTGTTAAAAGCCGAACTCAAATTTTATTGTAAACATCATTTCTTAGTTTAATTCAAGTCCCGTAAGATAGAAAAAATCAAGATTTATTACTATAGAAAGCAGTTTCAAATTCATTATTTTATTGAGTATAGACATGAACTGCATTCTGCTGTACACAATGACATATATTATGTGTTTTATCTTTGAAAGTCACAATTATTCATGTACTCGTACATTCATTTAAAACATAGATGCAATAATTAGCAATATGTAAGGCCATATAAGAGACAATCACTTTTCTTATTCCTTTTTCTTTTCATATTTTTTATCATTTAAACTTTTACCTAGCTAAAATATGTTTCTAATATTGGTTTGAATAAATCGTAATTATCCTGTTCATTTTGTAAATATTCTGAAATGTATGTTCGCCTAACAAAATCTTTAGCTATTTTTATCTCCCTTTTTCATACCCTTCTGCCATCTTCGGCGCCATATTGTGGCCTTAGAATATGCTCAATGGAAGAAGAGTGGCATCCACCAGTCATCTTTTGTACCCCATCTCATCCAGCAAAAACATCATAATCATTTTCTTTGCTAGGCTAGTCACATCTAGCTTAAGGTCCTATTTGCCGAAAATCTGCGTGACTAGTAAGGCTATATAATATATTTCAACGTTGTTAAAAACTTAAATAGATCAGGGGCAATTTGAAAAAAATAAAGTCGATTGAGGTAAAAATGTAAAATGCAGCTTTTCATTAATATTGCGCCGAAAAAAGGAAATAGGATTTCGGCTTACCTCGAGTGTTACACACTCAACTTTCAAAGTAACACCAGAGACCTGCTAGAGCTATGAAATGCATAAACGTCAGTTATTTGGACCCATTTAGGTTGCTTCTCTCGCATTGATTAACGGTGGCTGCACATCAACTTTGGCTACGTTCCTTTTGCCGCCACCATTAAAGGCAAACACTAAGCCAAATTCGGTCTTAAGGGACTTGAATGATCACGCGATACTAAAGCAGAGGTGTGGTGTGGATTCTATTCTTATTGTCACATTAAAACTTTTAATATTTTGTGTTTGTTTTATCGTCAAGTTTATCATTTTTAAAGGGATATTTTCCTTGATTTAATCTCATTTTTCAAAAATGAGAAAAACAAAATAAAAAACACCTTGTTTGACATCTTGATTACGAAACAGATATGGCTGTGCTTTGTTTTTTTTAAAGGTACATAACTTTTGAAACATATCTCATGCAAATTTTTTAATTAAAAAAATTACATTCAAAACTCGATATATGTTCAAAACAGTGGATATAGGTAATATCATTATATTTAAAAAATGGTATTTAATCGCTGGTTAAAGAGACCCTTGACCAAAAAACTGAGCTTTACGTATTCTCAAAACAAGCCAAATACGCCCCTGTCAGGGCTTGTACATACAAAGTTACACACTAGACTAAAATCTGCAATACTGCATATGCATTGTGCAATGGTATATTCATAGATTCTTGTTACATAACCTTATTATTTTCATTATCATAATCACCCTATATCCATATGGATCTCCATATTGAGCACAGGTGAAAAATATATGTGAATTATCGCTGCTCCAGATGTGTAGTAAAACACTGTATGAGGAGGAGAAAATTGATCAATCACAGGGTAAGTTTTCAACATTTTAAACATTTATAAAAAAATTGAAAGTTTTTTTTAAAAGAAAATTAAAATGTGATTCAACTCTTCTGACTTTTCTCTATATTTACCCAATTTTGTTTGAATTTTGATGCAGTCTTCATCGAGATATTCTTTCCGTCGTTGGGTCAGGTATGCCCAAATTATGCAATGAGTATGATGCAAATGTCGCTAAACCGATTCCAAATACAAAGTTTTCACAAAAATCTTACTACTAAATGATCCTTAACATTCAAACAAACCCTTATTGAAACATTGATTGAGATAAGTCTCAAAATAAAGGAATTGCTGGTCAAAATTCCATCTGAGCTTCATATGTGCTGAAGAATAACCATAGGTGATATAGGAAACCATCTACAAAACTATGGATCACTTTCATATAGTAATTGAATAGCTAATCTAAAGCGACAATTTAAGTTCCGTAGCTTTGACTGAAAGCACATTAGTCCGTAAGTTTGGTAATTAAATATGACTATCTCATCAGGCTAACTATTTGGTGCTAGCAATATAAATAATTACTAAAAATCTAAAAACAAATACCGAGTATATAGGATATTTGGATCAAAACAGTAGCTACTAGAGTGTTATAAAGATTTTCCTATTTTTAGCTCGAATTACTTAGTTTTTGACCAGAGACAACCTATATTCGAATTTGATCTAGAAATCATTACAACAACCTTTGTGACATATTTCAAGATTTTTTTTGTTAAAACAGAAGCAACTATAGTGTTTACAAGATCTTTTCAATTTTAAACTCCTTGACCTAGTATAAACCAGAGACAACCCATATTCGAACTTGGCCTACGAATCATCAAAACAATTGTCCTAACAATTTTCCAAAATATTTGAATCGAACATGCAGCCACTAGAGTGTTAACAAGTGTTTTTTATTTTTAGCTCATGTGACCTAGTTTTTGACCGGAGATAGCCCTATTCGAATTTGACCTAAACATCATCAAAACAATCTTTCTGATCAATTTTCAAGGATATTTGGATAATAATTGCAGCCTCTAGTGTGTTAACAAGATTTTTCTGTTTTTTAGCTCCTGTGACCTTGTTTTAAACCGGAGACAACCCATATTCTTCGAACTTGACCTAGAATTCAGTAAAACAACCTTTTTGACAAATTTACAGAATATTTTAATCAAAACTGCAGCCACTAAAGTGTTCACAAGATTTTTCCTTTTTTAGCTTCTGCTGTGGCCTAGTTTTTGATCGGAGATGTATCATATCCAAACTTAACCTACAAATTATTAAAACAACCGTCCTGATCAATATCAAGGATATATAAATAAAAAATGCAGCCACAAGAGTGTTAATAAGATTTTTATATTTTTTTGCTCCTGTGACCTAATTTTTGATTATAAATAACCCATATTCA